GCATACCCGATACACGTTCAATTCGCAAAGTTATTCGCGTGTTACGAACGCCACCTCATCAATCGTAAAGGATAAACGCGACGCGAGATGATTCGCGCGATTGCCGCGATCCGAATAATTCCCCGTTAATTACATGCATCGCGAATTATATCTATCTATTGTAGATGTTGCCGTGTGTGTCGCTAAATAGATAAACAGATACGGTCAGTTGGCCATAAATTCCAATCGATCGAAATTACGCTAATTTGCTATATACAAGCAATGACAACCAATTCAGCGAGAACTGTATTTCGCGCGTGCGTGTAGTTTCGAAAAGATTGTGCGAATCTCTCAGAGGATGGTAATTCGTGAAACATGAGCAAAACGAAAGGAAAATTCTGCTACGTCGTGCCGTTTTTTTTTTTTCGTCTAGCAAGGGGCGGATTTCGATCATCGCAAAATCGCGAATCTAGTTACCGCGACCTGCTTGTAATACATTCGTTGCATCTCGAAGTGAACTTTGACCTCTCGCATCCTAATGTTTAAAACATGTAGCTGTGCGCCTTATCTCGCCTGCCGGAATCGCAATTTCGAAGCAACCAGCTTTTGAATCTTCCTATTTGTTCTCAAGAATATTGATAGAAAATCGGAATAGGTTCGGATAAAATCAAACTTATCGGACGAAATTTAATTTTCACTGATCCTGCACGACAAAAGTGATGAAAATTTAATGTTCAAAATAAATGCGTAAAATATATATAAATTGAATTGTTAAAAATTGAAAAGAGAAACGCGAAGAACTCGCCGCTAAATAAAAGTACGGATACAACATCGTGACAATGCGTCGCCCGAAATTGCAACTGCCGAAAATGCATTACGAAAAGCAGCCTTGGCATTACAAATAAGTAGTGTAGAAGCGACATGCATGCAACACCGGATATTTACACGAGGCCGGATACGTAGATTCGGCACGCTTTCAACTCGGAAAGAAAGACGAGCCAGTCCGACAATAGGTAAAATGCACTTCCGCGAAATGTAGACCGCTACTAAACCGTAGCCGAGCAACGCTACGCTATTCCTATGCGACTTGCTGAATCGGAGAGTCGAGAAATAGGCGTTCTGTTGCGGCGACCGTAAGGCGACGAGGGTGGAAACGGAAATGGGAAAGCTTGAAAACGAAGTGCTCTCCGTCGAAACTTTTATCCCGAAAAGAATGTGCGAGATTGAATGTGGGAGGGTGAGAAGGAGGGAAGATGTCAATAGGAAAGTAACACGACAAAAGCGCGTTTTTCACGTCGATCATGAATTCACCTGCGATACATATTGACAAACATACACGTCACTCAAGCAAGTCGAAAAACACGACACATGATACGATAAATAATATTTAAGGAAGCATATAAAAAGAATATAATATATCAAACTAATAAAGTATCTAAAAAAAAAAAAATATTTTACAGGAAATCGTCTTTTGGATTTTCCGAATAATTCTCAACAATTTCTTAAATAATATAACGTAATGTAATCATATTCGACGTTTGAAACTACGCAATAAAGCAACTAATTATGCATGCAAGCTATTGTTTTACTTCATACAAGCATCTGTAACTTTATGAATATTAATGCGAATGGTAAGCGATATTCCAGGCCAATCTGCTACCACTTTAAATAATAAGGAATTAATTATATAGAATTATAAGGAATTAATTATACTGTACAAAGAATATGTAATATTATTTATATTAATAACAGTATCAATTATATTTATAGTTTATCCAATATTTGCTCTCCTCGCTTCCTCCTACGGTATATACAAAGTGGCCCATCGTAGAGATATCGAAACTAGATGAAAAGAAAATTCAAAGATTTCATTCAAAACTATATTCGCCGGTATTCGCACAGCTTTCGATACGAAGTGCACAGCCGGAACTCGTATTTCACCGGTTGCGAATATAAAATATCTTGCATTAATTTTCGAATATTCGAATCTATTTCACGAAAGAGTGAAAATTACGACTTGTCCGTTTTTTTTTTTTTTTTTTTTTCGTTGGCAGCGCTGAATTATGGCCACAGAAGAATTGTTCCCGGTGAAATGCAGATAGGTGCGCATTCCCGCCTGCAGTTCGTGACCTCATTTCGTACAGATTTTATGCAATTTATAGTAGAAGACGACAAAGATATTCAAACAAGATAATCAAGATTTTGTTATATATAAAGCATTGCCCGAGAGCGCAAATCTTGCGCCAGTAACGCGACGTAAATTTTCTGCAAGTTTATGCTCAATCCCACATTCTCCGATACAAAATTGCTTCGAGTAATCTCTAAAAGACACGATCCGGATCTATATATATATATACATAGAGATTTCAGAATATCTATCTCTACATTCTCAGGTAACTTTTTTACAGATCGTTACGCGTCTCGAGCCCTTTAAACCAAATGTTCTCGCATTATCTAGTAAAGCTTTCTTCGCCGGCTCCTCCTAGCCTTTTTTTTTCCGCATCTATCGCTCACGCGGATCGGTAAAATTTCAACCATACGTAAAGCCCGCGGGCGTCCGTCGTTTTTGAACGATTTATAGAGATAGCGGCGACTTTTCCAACGTGAGGCAGCAGCCGCAACGACCCCCACCCCCCACCACCCCCCCCACCCC